TATATATATATATATATATATATATATATACACACACACATACACAAGTTTCCTTGAATTGTATCCATTATGAAAATTACATTTTATATTTGTCTTTTATAGGACTTTAAGAATAAAATGTTACAAAAATTGATATTTTTGTATATTTTTATCCACTAATTTTTATTAAAAAAGAAGTTGTTTCTCATAAAATGGACTAGTATATGCTTTCTGTTTCTCATAAAGCAGTGATCGCTTTTCTATATTTGTATGCCCCTTCTGAAGTTCATAGGTTGTAATTCAGAATCAGTCTTTTATAAGCATACATATTTATATAAACATACATAAATACATTCAAAAGTCCATATATACTCTCCAAGAAGGAAAAAAATCCTTAGCTTGTAGTGAAATTAAAAGTTGTTAAATAAAGAAAATATATCATGAAACAAAAACATTACTCTTCATCAGAAATTCTACTAAAAACAACAATAATATTCTGGAAACCTTTTGTGCACATTTGGGGGTTTAAAGTGCACAAGTCATGACCATATACAGTGTGCCATTCAACATGGTATTATGTATTTGATGTCATAGTTATGAACTATTCATTTTATCCTACATTGTTGATTTTACAACAGTTCATGGTAGAAGAGAGTAAGTATCAGAGACAATAAAGAGGTATAGTGAAAAAATATTGTTATGCATTTTGGAGGGTTTAGAAGCTATGCAAACTGTAGCATGGACAAAAGTATTTTTATTCTTGGTGTAAACGACACCTCACATTCAAACTTCTCAGAGGCTGAGTCAGATTAAAACTTACAGTCATATCTTGCCTACATATACTATTGTAACTTATCTGTTTTTTTTTGTCTACAATAGATTTGTACATTTTACTACAAGCTTGCCACATTTTGCGTACATATACATGGTAAACTTAAAATTATAGTCAAACAAGCTGAGGCACCCATCAAACATCTGTGGGCATAAAGACTGAATGTAGGGTTTGAACTAAAAAATTAAATCAAGAACTTATATTTATATGCATAATTTATTTCACACATAATTTACTTTACAACTATTTTATTTCACACCTACTTTTTTCTAAATTACAGAAATGGTGTAACAATTACTTTACTTTATTACTTTAATTAAAATATGAATGTTTGACATTTTTAAAGAAAAATTCCTAAATTTTTCAAAAAACTTTAAAAAATTTCAAGAAAGAAACTCAAAATAAAAACATTTTAGGAATACAAATTGTCCAAGACTATGGAGTCATTAGCTAAACTAATACAATGTTTGCTGTGAGCATGGCATAAGGTGGGTGAAGCTGGGTAATAACTGCCCTATAACATGCCCCTTGATTAAATTGTATTATCTTACCAGGTTTGGTTGAGATTGGTCCAAAGACCACAGAGTAGTTTGCAGACAGACACATTTTTAAATTTTATAAGTATAGTTTCTTTCTCCAATATGAGCTAGGTCCAATGGATGGAGCCTATGCACATTCTGTTTAATGTTAAGTCAAAAATAAAAAAATTACATTAGGAATATACAGCATAGTATCCTACACAATATAGATGTATTTTTCACAACATAGTTAATATGGTTGAAAAAACAGAATAAACCTTGAAAAGTCTAGAAGTTGTACACTGCACAATAAATGCCTGGTATTAAAATAAAGTGGATATTTGACATTTCTACTCTGAACATAACCATATCAATCATTAAATGGCCAGGTTAGGGAATTCAAGGTTCATGCACAGTCACTCCTAATTTAGAACTGCTAACCAGAATAAAGGTAAAAAGTCAACAGCATCTGCTGCCTACACAGCTACTCTAACCAAATAGCAAGACTAAGCATTACAACACCTCCACAGCTGAAAATGTGAAGTGTATTGTATTGTGGGTCAAGTATTAAATCAGCACATTTGTAGCCCAGTACATTAACCACTAGGTCAACCCAGCTCTAAAAACCAAATAGAAAAAAATTGTTTTTTTTTTATGAATCAGTCTAAAGTGTTAACAATAAAATTATAAGAATTAAACCTAAAATACTCTACCTTTCCTTAATGCTCCACATTTAGAAAATTTTAATAATTAGATTAGTTTATAGGAACTTAGTGATTTGTAAAGTTAACTGAAGTAAAAACACGTAATAATCATAATAATAAATAATAATTGGTGTATGATAAATCTCTAAACTTTAAGACACCAATAATATATTGTTGAGTGTAAAATAAAACAAAAATAATTACACAAAAAAAGTTTTTGACATTAAATTACTGTAGTATTCTTGCAATTTCATGTTGTGCTTGACCTAAACAGTATTTATAATCTTTCTGCCATACTTTAATATCAACTTATTACACAAAATATACTGTGATTGAAACAGCCTTCATGATCATGTATTTTATAATTCAAGCTTATCTACTGTTGTGGCTCTAAAACTATATCATGTGTGGTATTATGAACACTTGAATAAAATTCAGCACACGGAAATTTATTATTTTTCTTTAATGTACTTGTTGAATCAAAAATATTAATTGAAGATACAGGTACGAGTTTCCTGAAAACTCTTAAATTTAACTATGATATTATTAAGAAGCTTTAAAATACTATAAACAGAGATTATGTGGTACCATAAGGACTAAAGTTAATGAACAATTTTCAACACGAAAAAAAAAAAATTAAAGAAATCAATAAATTAGGTTTTGAAATATTTAATATTCATACAAGTTTGATAATTGAACTTTGTCTTTCAATGAGAAATTGAGAGTTACAGATTAGATAACTCTTAAATTTTAAGATTATAGAAAAAAGAGAGATTGATACTTGCCAGAACTGAAAAGAATGGGAAGAAAACTTATTTCAAATGCAATAGAAAATAAATTATTTTTCAACTTTACTAATGCTTTCATAATGAGTACCCCTTTAAACACTTTTCAGCACAAGTCACCACGTTACATTCAAAATTTAATTAAATACCTTTAATATTAATTTATGTGAATTAAATTAACATTATAATGTATGTTATGATTCGAAGTTTTGTGTTATCCAAGTTAAGTCCTTTATTTCCAAAGAAACCTTTAAAAAAACTACTTAAAACTTCTGACGTATTGTCATGTGACCAACAAGTTATGAAAATTCTGTACTTTGGCACTCTGTATCTTCAATAATACACTGGCAGTTGTGTAGATGTACGTCTACACTACAAAATGCCTATTTACCCTACTCACAAGTACATTTCAAAGATCTCTGAATGAATGCAGTTGAAACAAGTAATAAAATTTGTCAATTCCTTACATGTGCCATGCCCATCTTCAATAGACTTGTTTGAGCCTTATAGCCTACGTGTAGAGGTTACATACACATGTATTAACTGACTGTAGTATTGTTGGCTGCTCGAATGACTATACCACTTATGATTGTTTCTTACCCAAATATGTTATAGTTAGAGATATAGTTAAATTATATTTAGGTCTTACTTTTACATTTTAGTTAATTATGTATTATTTATGTTTTAAAATGCACAGTTGCAAGTTTAAACATTTTTTATATATATACATTATAGTTGATATCAGTTCTCAAGGCTTACAATATTACACAGTGCATGAAAATTTTCCTGAAGGGTTGCACATTTCTGCCAGAGACACTCTAATATGCCTCTAAGGCACCTCTGTATCAAGATGAAGAATAAATTGCAAAGGACAAGAAAGAAAAAGAAAAGACCTGAAATTATTAATATAACCAAAACAATATCATTAAAGACATTCTACAAAAAATTAAAAGGTATATACTGGTTTTCTATTTCCTAATTTTAATCATTTCATTGCATTGAATGTTGATAATAGCTAGAGTTAATGATATAGTAGAGAAAATGAAAAATACAATATAAAAAATTTACCTTAACAAAACTTTTAATATTCATTTAGAAGGTTCTAGAAGTTATGCAAATGAAATATGAAAACTATAAGATGAAGAAAAGTATTTTTATACTTAAAATGAAAATCACCTTGCACTTGAACTATTCACAGTTTGAGTGCAAATAACTACTATAGATAAATAACATTTTTATTAGAAAGATGCAATTAAAGTAATGTAATTCTTTGTGTACAAAATACTTATAAAGTTTAACAAAATCTTACAAGGTTTTGTGAGGAATGCTCAAAGTTATTGTATGATAATCAAAATGGTGTATTTACATGTTTTACACTCACCAAAAAGAAACCTATCATTCTATAGGTATTTGAAGAACTTATAGTAATTGAACAGGTATTGAAACCCAGTTTACAGCATCATAAGCCCAGGATTTCCTGCTGAACCATTGGGTGCAAGCACCATGAATCAAGTCTCTAAAATATGCAGTTTTACAGACCTCCTAGTTCAATATTATTACATTAAATTACTGATTTCAAAACAAATAAATAATTTTCCACTTCATAAACAGAAATTGGGAGTTTAATGAAAGATATATAAAGTAAGAAAAAGGGCACTTGTCATATGGTTTCTGGTTTGGACAGTTGTTTTTATTGTGGGTTTGGTAATTGTACAGTGTGTTAAAAATAACACCTTAAGAACAAGAATTGTGTATATATATATATATATATATATATACCACAAAATTTAATACAATCAAGTTAAAGACTTCATTTTATGTCTGTTTTATTATAAAATAGCTGTCACTCGATTTTAGACTGAACATACTCGTTACACAATTTCCTATATTTCAGTTCAAAAGATAACACAAGCCTGTGAATTTAAAGTTCCCAAAAGTTGTTTTAGTTTTAATAATGGATTTTCCATAATCCAGCAACACAGATTTCAAAAATAATATTCATTTTTTCCATCAAGTAAGGATTTTTTTACAAATCAGGAAGAAAAAAAACTCTTACTAAGATCAAAATATTATTTCTTTTACCACAATGTGAACAAAAATACAAACAAAATGAAGAAAAGGGAAGAACATTGATGTCAAATGAATATGCATCCTGTTTTGTGTCGTGAAGTCTCAAAACTACATGCTGTGGTGTTTGTTTTATGTACAGCATTATGATGTTTTGAGAAAAATCTGTACATAATGGAAAAAAATGGATATCATTTTCAGATTCAGCATAAAGAACATGTAGAACATGCAAAAATTTCAAGACAATAAAACCATCACAAGCCTGTGTAATTAGCAAATGTATTTCTTTCATAATTTTAAAAGGCATTATTCAGTTTACTTGTATTCAGAAGTTATCTATATTACAGAAGTTACCGTGTCTAGATGAAGATTAACTTCTACAGAATCAATTGAATCTTCCTCTCCTGTCAACCTTTGGTTTGTTGCAGCCTCTCCATAAAACAGCTGAGTCCATCTGCAACATAGCAAACAACTGTATATTCAAGTATCAAGTACTGAAATTTTCTTCTGTATGAAATATTTTCATTAATTCCTTTTCTGGCCTATAAAGATAAGAAAGCTTATAACTCAGCTGTCCTATTCATATTTTTTGTACAGAAATAATGTTTAACAATGTGACCAAGTGTTTCAAGATTTATCTTTTAAACAGAATTTTGTTAGTTAATGTCTGAAAGCATGCATTTTGCAAATAACTATACATGTTTTTTTTCTTTTACTTATGAAAAAGAAGTTAGAAAAAAATGGTAAAATTAAATTTTATGACAAGATGATCAAGTAAATAGAAATAACAGTGACATAAGCAACAGAAGCATTATCAAAAAGTAATTTTGATTTTTTTTTAAAGTGTAAAATATAACACCTAGAAGCCTTTAAGTTTGTTCTTAGCATTTTATTGAAGATGTATAAACACATTATTAACATGAAAGAAAAACAACCTGTATTATAGAAAATATAGAAAGTAACAAATTGTATAAATGGTATTTTCTGCATCAAACTAAGCTTAAAAAAATAAGCCTTTTCTCTGTTCCTGAATAAAAAACATTTGACCTTCAGATTTTCAAGAGATGGGTAGTTAATTAGCAACTTAGCCACTGGCAGTAAAAGTTTAAATTGTACATATTGTGCAAAAGCAATTACAAGAAAATAGAATTTTTACCTCTGTTCAGATTTTTGAACCAAAGCAATCCTCCCATAATTCCAAGCTCGTTTTCTTAATATTGTGAATAGAATTAACAGAAGCTGAAAATTTCAAATATTAATGAGATTTTGCACTCAAAAGAAATGTGAGGAAACAATTACAAAAAACTATCCACTGTTTAATATAAAAAAATAATACAGACAACAATACAAATGCAAGTAACATGTTCACTTAAGTAATAAAATCCTGCAAGACATTTCCAAAAAAAAAGTAATATTTGTTGAGATTAATTTTTCAGAATCAGTATTGATATTTGAAACACTGTACGAACATTATAAACTCTTTTCAAGTTCTTTATCTTTGTATAACAAGAAAGGATAAATGTTAATTATGGACAACTGACTGATATAGTTAACTCAATATAAAAAAAAGGCTTTTCACAGCTTGACTTTCAAGTTGTAGAGAGATTAAGAGAACTACATCATCAGCATGGTTTCTTACCATGACAGGTCTTGGGGTGGCTTTCTGGGTGATAAAGTGATCTGTATGTCGTTAAGAATGGTGCTCTGAGTGCTGCACATTATAGGGATGAAATCCTGTCAACCATTTTCAGGGCTTTTATTGGGGACTTTGGACCTGACTTCATATGCAAGGATGATAATGCTTGTCCCTGCTGAGCGCATATCATTACTGCTTACCCTGAATGACAAACTGTTAGGATAATCAACTGGTTACCATTCTCTTAGGAACTTAGCCCCATACAATTCATTTGGGACCTGATTCAATGATAGATTCCCCACCTGCCTCATTACGAAGAAAAAATTGGGAAATATTTAATAGAACCCCCATTTAGATACTTATAGAAGTTATGTTGTAATATTGTATGGTTGTTTAATTATTACATTATTCTTTTCATCAAAGGTAAAATTGAAAATGTAATCTGTGATATAGACACCTAATGCATTCTTTGATTTGCTGCACCCTCTGCTGTGGAATGCAGTTTCATATATTCAAGGCTTATCAGCACAGCTTGGATGAGCAAACCACAGAAATACACTAAGGCCTGTTACAGTGCTGATGTGTATATAATATTTATATGATTTATGTCCTTTTTAACTCACCATATAGTAACCTACATTAATTTAGGTGTGTGAATAATATTGTGCTATTGCACCTAATTTATTATATGGTATAATATAGTGGACTAACTATTTAATGATGATAATACAGATTTTTTTTCTTTTTTACCAAAGGTAAAATTGAAAACGTAGTCTGTGACATAGAGGCCTAATGTATTTTTTAATTTACAACACCCTCTTCTGTGGACTGCAGTTTTGTTCAAGCTGTACTGATGACCCTTGAACAATTAAAACTGCAATCCAGAACAAAGGGTGCAGTAAAACAAACAACATATATTAGGCTTCTATGTCACAGATTATGTTTTTAGTTTTACCTTTGGCAAAAAAAAATCTGTAATATTATCATTAAATAGTTAGTCCAAGGTGTGACGTCAATTAGGAATTAGAATTAGGAGAAATGCCATATCATTCAAACACCTAAATTAATTTAGGTTACTATATATTGAGTTAAAAAGGGCTTAAAAATCCCATAAACAGTTGTATTGGCTCATTAGGGTGGAACCTACAAATTTTGAAAACTGTTATTACTAATATATGTTAGCAATGGTACTGTACACACTCCAAGGTGGAGTTTTAGCTTTAATGGATAGTTCTTGCCAGTTCCTAAAGTGATATGATATTTAGGCTTCTATAGTGAAGTCTTCTTAGATAGGAGCATTCCATTAGCCCCTATAATACAGGTGGGTGGATTCCATCCAGCCCATATTCCCAAAAGTAACTATAAAGCAGTTATACTGTACCTTTTTAAAATGTACACATACCTTCACAGAATTTTGCAGATTATCAGAAAACATTACAAGGCATGCATGCACAAAGTACCTGATTTATTAATTAAGTTTTAACACTTTTTTCATCAATTATTTGCTCTTGCATTTTTTATTTTCAAATATTGACTATTCAATATGCAAAGTAATTTTAATTTTAAGATTAAAAATACTTTTATGCATCAGAAGATTGTCAAATTTCACATGCAAAATCTCCATAACCTCCTAATATCCTCCAGATAATTATCAAATGTTTTTTTTTTTCCAAAAAAACTTGTGTTTTAGCTGTTATTTTCACTATTGTATCTTTGAATGGGTTTGGCCGATTCTAATGACCTTGTAACCACCATAAAAAAAAAGAAATAGATATAAATTTCACTTTTTCATTCTATAATTTTTACAAATTATAACACAAAACCACAAATGTTTAGTCTAAATTGCTTAAATCTCCTAACATTTTACATATATAAAAATTTATTACTTTAATTTTATTGTCCTTTCAACAGCATCTGACTAACGTTACAGAAGTTGAATGACGAGGCACACATGTATTCATGTTACCATATCCAATAATATAAAACTGGCCTTTACAAAGTGACCTGTCTTGGCAGTGTTCTAGTGGACCAGTATTTTGTAAAATATTTCACATTGTCACATTTCAGTAATATATTGTTGCATATCTGCTCGTTTGTTAATTTCTGGTATAAATTCTTTCTGAGGAACTTCAGCGATACAAGTCCTTTTTTTGAATTAAAACTAGTTTATTATTTCTTGATACAACTTTCTAATATACAAAATTTCCACAGTCAGTTTAACTTAACTAATTTTATAAAAACACGCTATAATTCACAAGGATTCACACACTTTACTTACGGCTTGACTCAATTATCTCTATCTTCAATCTCTCTATGCATCTGCAATTATTTGCCAGGCTTATATACTAAAATAGAGGGTGCCTGGAAAAGACTAGAGTTGCCAGGACAATTCACGATCCTTCTAGAAACTCATCACGTGTTACCAGTGTCACGTGACTTCCGCTGTCGTAACACTGCCCCTTCCTTAGTATTGTTCATCCCGAACAATAGCCACTTACATTAAACCAATAAATAATTAACAATAACTTGATTAAATGTACAGAATTTACAAACACAAAATTAAAATTCAACAAAGTCTCTTAATTTTACAGGATGTATCTTCTTCCATACTGGTCTCTGTCTCATTGGCTTCTGCTTCATGTGGGGTTCATCTGCTCCATCAGGAAAAGTCCTATTATCGGTAAGAGTCACATCCGTGGTAGTAACTTCATTAAGGGCTTCACTTCCTCAAAAAAAGTATAAAATTAAACGTAAATTACTCTCTATAAAATCGTTACTGCTCAGACAAATCATATTGGTGGATCATCTCCAGTCCAACACCATCTACACTGACAGAACATCACCCCCCTACTCTCAACTGAATGGGATTGAACACACTCAGGAGGATGCCACCATGGCCTACCAACTAAGTGGCTAGTAAGTGGTAAGGACTCCTTTACTCCAATAAAAGAGGGGGATAATGCAGTGGGGAGTCAAAGGAACACAACACTGGAGAAAATGCAATAGGTGAACATGAAACCCTATTTTTAAAAGCATTCCAGTCCCGATTTGGGATGGGCAACTATCCTGACACTGCTTTATTCATGATAGGCCATGAGTTGGTACAAATCTCCTCCTCCTTATCAGGTTACCAAATACCACCCGACCTGTTGCCATCCTAAATAACTTGATTCAACTGTAAGTGTTTTTAATATTTCTTCACTTACTTACAGTGGCCCAATTTTACATGTTGGATCCTGCTCAGTGGTGTGTGTTGCACTGTATGGCTTTTCAGGTCTATAATGCCCACTGTTGAGATGGGGTGTTCCACAGGTCTGCTAGTTGGTTCCTCCTTGCAGAATATTGCATCATATCGGTCACGTAATGAAGTTAATGAAAAATGAATGTGTGTGCCGTGGTCCACACATCAGCCCAGGTGATCTCTCCCAATAGTCAATGGAAGTTGGTAGACAGGAAGAGGATGAGGTGTTAGATCTGATGCAAGGATACCAGAAAAAGACATTGGGGGATGGGAGACAAAGAAGATTAAGCCAACCCTATAAGCAGATGAATCTGACCCAAAAGGGTGATAGGACAAATATCTTGGGTAGAGGAAGGGTTCCAATGGATAAACAGGTGAGAACGGGAATCACGGAAGGCAGCCATACAGTCAATATAGCACTGGAGAGCATGAACAGGACAGATGAGATGACCCTGATCGGAGTGGGAATAGAAATGGGAAATCGAAGGGAGATAGTTGTGAATATGACATCACATTCTGTGGTCACCAATGACCCAGTAAAAAACTGTGAACTGGATACAGGAGAAATATAGATATGGTGACAAAGGATATGTGAAACATTAAGAGCAAAAAAACATCTGACATATGATGAACACAGGTAAGGCGTAGAAAAAAATTTAAAGTGCAGAACAAGTGCTAAACAGGTAACCAAGGGTTTGAAATGAGGTTGGGTAAGGGCCTGGAGAACTACCTGAAGGTTCCAAACTGGAAGGGGCATAGTACGATGTAGGTGAAGGAGATGAAAGGAACGAAACAAGTAATACAAGAAACGTTTTTCTTAACTGTTAGTTCTCTTAAAATTTCCAAGATAAAAAATATCTATAGATAGAAAACTTCTACCCCTGTACCAAGAGTACTGTCACTGTCTCTAATTTTGAATCACCCACAGTTCACTGTTACTCTTATATCACACCCACAACTTAAAGTATGGATAATATTTTGTGGCTCACCAGCTTCAAAATCCTTAGCTATACAACAGGGTCAATCCATAATGACAGTAATATCAGACTAATGTAATAACTGAAAAAAAAAAAAATTGATACAATAATTTACACTTACTTGACTTTGAAAATTGCTGTAAGCCAGGAACAAAATCCCTAGAACAGAAATCAATGTTCAATCAATCTTTTATAGAATTTACTAGATAGATATAGATCTTTATAAGAAAAAAACAACTGAAATAAATAATTATTTTGAATATAACCTAGTATAAATTTACATGTACATTTTGTACCACTAATGTTAATAATCACTGATGGACTTCCTTCATTAAGCTTAATATGAAACCAATAAGTGGTCTTTTCATCAATTATAAATATTTTT